AGGAAAATTATTTTCATCCTGCCTGTGTGTCCATAAAAGCAATAAAGCGCTCTCTGTCACTGTGATTTATTTCAGATTTGTTAGCGCAGCTTTGCAGTTTATGCAACCTGATTGACATTCTTTAAAAAAAAATGTTCAACGTTAATCTCGAGATCTTTTGTCTGCCTTTGCGTAAATCTTAAAAAGAAGCAGGGCATGAAGCGCCTTGCCTAAACGGGTTCTCATAATCCAGTTTATAGCTCGCACACATGCGATCTGTAAATCTTAAATCTACCTAAACCGATCCCAACTTACCGTGGGATTTCCCCGTATGCAGCGTGAGCATTAGTCGGGCTTAGTTCTTATAAACAAAACTATTTTCAGCGGAACTCGGGTCAAATTTCAATGTATACATTGTAATTCTTTTTTTTCTAACATGTGCTACTGCCTATCTTGGCCAGGTCACCCTTGCGAAAGAGGTCTTGATCTCCATGGGTTTTTATCTGGTTAAATAAAGATTTAATAAGAAAAATAAAAATTTTGGAGCAGAAGAAGCCTAACATGAGCGTGGTGGTGCTGCAAATGAGACAAATCTCTTCAGRTGAAAAGCTATTGTCAAATTTTAAACATAAAATCATCTTAATCCAGAAGCAGCAGGTGATATGCTTTCCTTCAAGGAATGCTAGGCCTGATATGAAGAAAGACTTCCTATATAAAATACTGGACAAGATACTCTAATATCTGTTGCCACAGTATAGAATGTAGGTTTACTTTTACACTTTGGGACATTGTCTGCTGTGAAGACCAGTTGTGATGTGGATGATTGTCTCCACCACCAGAAGTTTGATTAAATGTATGTCAGCACAAATAACCAGAGRGGGGGTCTCCTCAGGCCTCATTAGTACAGCGAGTTTCAGAGTCGGCCCTGAGGTACTCAGCTCAAACCCTCAGCAGAACCACAGAGTGAGCAAACAGCATCGGTTTTTCATACATGGGACAGAAAAAAAGCAAGAAACAAAAGGTGTGGGCAGCAAAGGACAGAGATGAGAGATGAAACAACTGACAAATCAGAAGAGCATCCCAACAGTGTTTAGATATGTAAAGAGGCTTGTGTGTTTAATACCAAAGAGAGGAAAAATCCCACTAAGATGATGGGGAATCTACAAAGAAACAAAAAGATAAAGGCGATCTATCAATTAAAAACTGCAGTGGGAGAAAAAAAAGAAACTTGACGGCACAGATCTCTCTCTTCTTATTGTCTGCTTGTCGAGGTCGTGCTCTCCTCAGGTGCAGAACTTAGCCACTGTGAACAAAGAGGAAATCAATCACTGTTCACCAATCAGCTAAGCTCTGCGTCTGGCTGGAGAGAGTAAACAAAAAGAGACTGACGCGTGGCGAACGCTGACGAAAGCTCCCCTCATCGTCCTCGTTTCTCCTCCACTCCAACAAGATTACACGAACCCTTAGGCAATCACGTCTCCTTCAGTCTTGGACTTCCTGCGGGCGAGAGCGTGCGTTTGTGTGTGGATGGAGGTCTGGTTGATGTGGCAGCCGGCAGGGTCAGGGATGTGTGGTAATCCCTGGCAATGTGATTTTTTATCATAAGTCACAAATCAGCACGCCAGGAACCCTCACAGCTCAGACATGAAAGAACAGGATTTCTTTCTCTTTTCTCTCCTACCTGTACCCACATCACTGTGTGCTGCTAACCAGCAACACCCTGAAACTAAACACTTGCTTTCTTCTCACCCAGCCCACATCATTGTTTTCCCCTCCCTCATATGTCTGCCATCAGAACTCAGCCGTGAAAGACCCGAGCGGCAGATCTTTTTGCCGCCCCGCTCTCACAGACTTTTTTCCCCCTTTGGTTACCCTTCTCCTCGTCTCCTATTCGCCACGCTCGGCTGACCRGGCGATATGCCCCTCATTAAGCGGATCAAGAGGGATTCCAAAGGCATGTACCGGGATGGGGGAGAAAAATTACAAGAGGGTGAACAGGAAAGGAGGGGATAAAAAAAAAGACCACCCTACTCTTTTAAATGATTGTGCTTTTTAGGTTTTAAACACRGAGCCGGTGAGGATGCCTTGACAGACATGTTTTCATTTAAAGCCCACTCAGCATAATAGACACAATCCGCTGTATTGTGTGTGTCTTTGTGAAATGGTAGGAGGAGGCCTGCTCGAATTTAAAAAAAAAAAAAAAGGACAATGGGGCAACACAACGCCAACAGTGGAACATAAATCCACCTCCCTGCAGGGCAATAGGGAAAGTCAGCGAGGAGTTCTCTTCATCCATCATTTTAATTGGAGGGAGGTCTTTGATCTCAGATGACCTGTGTGATCCACTGATGTTTACAGGCACTAGCTTGGCTCAGTCRAAAGGGAAGCTGCAGTAAAAGTTGGGATATTAATCTTTGAACGCCTCTTTCCCTGCGAGGCGACGGGGAGAAGAGGAGGGGGGGAGTGACAGACGATGGTGAAGACGAGCCGGGACAGAGCCGACAGGAGCCGTGGACGTGTGTCGGGCGAGGTTTATCAGGACTAAGCCAGATGCCAAACACTTGTTGAGAAAGCCTTTCGCATCCTCTGAAAATGCACAAAACAGTGTGTGTGAGAAGATAAAAGCCCATCTCGTGGCAGCCTGACTGAAGCCTGAAACAGGACTTAAAGCTCTGAGTCGCTCAGGTCGATGCGGACGGGATTTCAACAGCTCACGACACAGCCGGCTCACCYCCGAGGTTACAAACACCTTCTTGACCAAACTGAACCGGAGATAAAAGATCAAATCAGTTTTAACGTCCCTGTCGACGGAAAACTACAACTTTAGCAGTAGATTTGTTTTGTTCTTTCAGTTATYCAAAAGGCGCCAAAATGAATTAAACCTCATCAGGATTTAAACAAATACTCAGTTAAGAATTAGACAGTTTTGGCAAAAAGATCAGCAGCTTCAAGTTGACCTGTCCATTACAGTCATCCATTTGGCTCATCTCCCCTTTTCTTCCTTTTCCAAAACATAAACATCATCCTTTCCCTCATTTAGTGTCAGACTGAAGAACCCACCTAATGGCTGCTGTGATTATTCACAAGCACGCAGGAGGAATTCCTGCTTGGACCGAGTACAGATCTGTTCACATCAGACGGAGTCTATCTTGAGCCTGAGCCTCACTGTTTTCTCCTCTTTCCTGACCGGTTTGTTTGAGGAAGAAATTCCCAGATTCCTCATCTGACAAATGAATCCTGATGGTGCTGCTGTGGAACCGCTGACAAGATCCCCTCTGGAATCCAGGAGAATATTAAGCAACACGCCCACACTCTGTCCTGTAGGCTCAGAAAGGAATGTGCAGCAAAGGTAGCCAAGTGACTCAAATGTGGACGGTCCTCCGGAGCAGATAGGCTCCAGATCAATTCAACACAAAGCGTTCTTTTACAGGCTCCACTGCCAAGGCTCAGGGGTTCTTAACCTTTTTGACCTCGGGGCCCAATTTGTTGAACATAAAGTGGCATGAGGCCTAGTCACACATTACCAATGTACGGATCAAAATGATAATTATTATAATCTTGGTTTAATGTGTATTGTATTTACAGCATAACTAAACTATCATAACTAACATAACTAAATTAAATACACTTACAGTTTAAATGTAAAACTCCTGTCAAATAATCACAAGAGAT